AGCCCGCCCGTCCGCCCGCCCGCCCCGGGCGCGGGATTGCGGAGCTGCGGCGGCGGCCCCGGGCTGCCCCGGGTCCGAGGCCGCCGCCGCTTCCGCGCTGGCGGGCCGGGGGGGAGAAGCGGCGAGGCCCGGCCCGGCCCGGCGGCGGAGGTGCTTCTTCGTCGCTCCGCGCCCGGGGCCGCTTGCGCAAGGGCCCCGGACTCGGGCCGGGCTTCGTCCTGCTCGCCCGGCAGGGCCGGGGATGCAGTCCGGGAGGCAGGCTGTGCAGAGTTCCCCGGGGCATGGGTGAAGTGCCTGGAACAGTGCCCCCGTTTGGGCCCGCCCCTTTCTCCACGGAGCGACCTCCGAGGCCCGCCTGTGGGGGCATGAAAGCGGAGCAGCGGTGCCGCGGAGCTCTCTCCGGCTTGACGCCCGGGCAAGCTTAGCCAGGGCTGGGCCCCGACGTTATGAAAAGTGCGAGGCTGTGATGTCATACCTTTGTGAACGGCCTCTGGATGGCAAAGTGACGAAAATGCCTACCTCCCTGTTGGTAATTAATTGCAATTAAATGTCGCCTGTAGCAGCTTGGTCTTTGTATTGCTGTAGTGGTTGGAGATGCTGGCCCGGAGACCATGTTCTGCAGCCGCCTGCTGCTCAGAGCCCTCCCCCAGAGTCACTCAGTCAGTCGTAAATTGTCTCCCTCGTTTAATGGTTAAATACATCAATTGTGTATATTCAACTACGTAACTATATTGCAAAGACTTTAATTTACAACATGCAATTCATTGTGTGACCCTCAGGATAGTGCATGTCGCTTGTTTTTGATATTTATTTTTTAGCCAGCTAGAGATGCTATTATGTTAGGTCATAAATGAGAGCCAGTGAGGTGTCGTGGGTAAGAGTGTGGGACTGGGACTCCGGCGATTTGGGTGCTTGTCCCTGCTCAGCCGTGGAACCGCTGGGTGACTTTGAGACAGTCACAGAATCATAGAGTAGGCAGGCTCATTGCAGGACTCCAAGTTCAAGCATCCTTGACGGATGGCTGTTCAGCTGCCTCCTGAATCCCTCCAGTGTGTGTGTGTGTGGGGGGGCACCACATCCCTAGGTCTCAGGTTCCATACTGCTCTAACCATTAGGAAGTTCTTCCTGTTATCTGGCCAGAATTTGGCTTCCTGGCCCTCCTCTTTGTGTCAGCCTTTCACGCCACAGACTCTCAGGCCAGCCTACCTCACAGGACAAGAATGAGAGGAGGAGGAGAAATATGAAAGTTATCTTGACTTCCTTGAAAGGAGAAAAGGGTGGGATATAAATATAATGAATAAATGAAAGGCATCCTTAGTGATTTATTTCTGTTAGCCTCAGGTCATCCAGAAAGGCCTTTTGCCATTCTGATACTCAAAGGGTGGCTGCTAGAGACAGGGCCTTCTCCATGGCGGCCCCCAGCTAGGATGGGGATGGTGATGCAACACATCCTGACAACATCGGGTCGACCTCTCAGCCTGCTCAGAGGGTTTTTTCCCCTCAGCCCTGCAGATTCGTGGGCTGCACAGAACAGGGAACCCTTTCTCTGTTCTTCTTGCTGCTGATTCAAATCTTCCTTTCAGGTGTTGCAAAGGATGGTGATCTGCTGTGGGTACCTGGTGGGAAAGTGCAAGTTGGAACCCATTCCTTTGACAGCAGGAATGAAGACAGGTCTCCCAGGAAGGTCGAACCCTTCCTGATGGACAAATATCCAGTCACCAACAGAGATTTCCGGTAAACGCTTCGCTAGCCTGTTTTGCAGCAATTTAAGTGCTCTGCACTTGCATGGCCAGGAGCAGTCTGCTTTTCAGCTCTGCAGTAGTTTGTATGTCTATTATTTATTCTGAAAGCAGAACAACTATAATAAACAGAGCAACAATAATAAACAGAATAATAATAAACAGAAGAAGAGATTGACAAAGTTGCCAAAGGAATTTGATGCAGATCCAGCCAGTGCAACCAGCCCTCAGAATCTGTCCATCGACACTCCATAGAAAACTCACACAAAAGAAATCCTTACTCTATACAACAACAGATCTTCCAAGCACTTCAGGTCCTCCACAGCTTTCCCTTTCCTTTTTAAACACCTCAGATCCGTCAGCTGCCGAGGGCTCCGGTGATCTCCATCCAGCACCTGCTGCCATCCTAACTCTGCCATATTCCCTGAAAGGCTCTCGGGCCCTATAGTGTTAAGACTCATGAAAAACTGCTTTGATTCTCTTAAAAGAAAGATTCAGTCCATTAATACTGATTGATAATATCTTCATTCTGTCTCTCAAACTCAGTCTAAGGAGCTCTGGCTCTTCAGATCTGGCTTCAGCTTTTTAGCATCCCATTCAGATTTCCTTCTTGCATTACTTCTCTTCTTCTCTGCTCCTCTGCACTTCCACCTCTCTCATTTCTTCATACCTATAAGTGAACTACAGTTGGATGGTACAGTTTAAAGCAGAAAAATTAGGGAAGGGGAATCAAGAAAGAAAGAAAAGGAAAGAAAGAACAAGGAAAAGATCAGAGGGAGGAAAAAGAGGCAAAAGTGGATTAAACTAGTCAGCCTTCTGTCAGTATTAGAATTATTAGGCCCATTCTATCTCTATTAAAATACTATTTTGAATCAGTTTGTTAAGAAGAGGCATTGTTCCAACTTCTATAGCAAGGGAACCTAACTTCCAATTTTCTCCAGGTCCAATAGACAGAGCTAATGATGATCTCACAGTACGTCATGTTTGTTCTTTGTTCTTTAGGATTATTAATTTTTTTATTCTTAAGAGGGTCCAGGACAGTGAAAAACCCCCAAGTCCCATCAGGGAGGTATAATTGTTCCGTAAAGCAAATCATATTATAACTTAGATTTATCCTTGAAAATGTGGGACGTCCCGCTCATGAGATGCTCTAGGTAATTTTGCACAAGAGGCCATTTTGCATCTGGCCTCCTTTGGTGGATCGGGAGGTTCTAGGAACGAACTGATAGGGGTTGTAGTCTAAAGCATCTGGCAAACACCAGGTTGGCCACCTCCAGCTTAGGACAGCAATCAAGGGACTCTGTATTAAAGGCTCGTTTGGAAAGCTGCTGCACTCTTCCTAACAGGGAATTTGTACGCGACCGAAAATACAAAACAGAAGCAGAAGAGTTTGGCTGGAGCTTTGTCTTTGAGGATTTTGTACCAGAGGCACTGAAGAAGAAAGTGATGCAGAAGCTGGAGGTAAAGAACATCCTGAATTGCTAAGCAGGGTTTTGTAGGATTTCTGGTGGGGCTCTCAGGGTGTGGTGTCAAGTGCATAGCTCTGAAAGTGTTTCCCCTCTGGCCCCTGACACACATTTTCCCCCAAGAAGGTTCAGGTGCTTCCCCTGTGAAATCTGAAGGTACCCTAATCTGTGAGTTTCTTTGCCATTTTCCTGAGTATACCTGAGGCCCTCCAGATGACATGGGACCACAATTCCCAGCATTCCTGATTGTAGCGTCATTGCTGTATGCATCGTCAGAGTTTCTGTGATGACACGGAACACTCACAAGCGTTCTGACCTGCTGAATGGGGACAGGCACTGAAAGGTAAAAGCTTGGTCTGCCTGCTCTAACTTGGGTTTCTTGCCAGAAAATAAGGCAGGATATATGTATGCTAAATGAATCAATCAGTTCTGAAACAGCAGAACTGTGACAGAAAACTTATCTCCACAGACATGGCTGCAGCTCCTCTCATTCAGAATAATAAAAACTATACTGCATGTGCAGCGTGGCAAGGAAAGAGAAACAGAGCGAGTCAGAAGGGGCCTCCTGGGCCATCTAGTCTGACCCCAGGCTCCTGCCGGCTCCACTCACAACATGCTTCCCATGTGCCTGTCTAGCCTATCCTTGAACACCCTCACCGATGAAGCCTCAGCCACCTCCCGTGGAAGCCCTTTTCCATACCCTCGGGGTCCTAATGTCAGGAAATGCTTCCTGGCATCTAAATGGAACCTGGGTTCCCTGAGCTTTGCTCTGTTGGAAGGCATCCCACCTTCCTCTGCAGGGGAGAACAGGTCTCTGCCCACCTCCGTGTGACACCCCCTCACATACCTGTGTGTCGCCAAAATATCCCCTCTGAGTCTCCTCCAGGCTGAAGAGACCCAGTTTCCTCAGTCTCACCTCATACGGCTTCCCCTGCAAACCGGCCACCAACCTTGTGGCCCTTCGCTGCACTGAATCTTACCTGGCTGTATCCTTCCTGTAATGAGGGGCCCAAAACTGAGCACAATACTCCAGTTGCGGGCGCACCAGAGTCATATAGTGTGGTGGTAATACCTCCCTCGATCTAGAAGCCACACTTCTGGCTATGCAGCCAAGGGTGGCGTTCACCCTCTTGACCACCGCATCACACGGCTGGCTCACGTTCAGCCTGCAGTCAACCAGCACCCCGAGGTCCCTTTCGCAAGTGCTGCTCTCCAGCCACTTGTCCCCTAAGGAACGGCAGCCTTCTCTCTGGGCCCGTGCCCCCTCCTCCCCACCCCCCACCCTCGTTGCCGGGGACGGGCCTTGGCAGTGGGAAGGCCCGTTCCCTGCAGCCACTGCCTGCCCTGCATCCTCTCCAGGGCCCCGCGGAGCAGGGAAAGCCAAATCCCAGTGGTGCCCCAGGAGGAGCTGACCTCTGGGAATCAAGCGTCAGGTGGGGGCGGGGGCTGCCCCCCGATGCCGCGTGGTCTGCAGAGGGATGCAGGTCCGTCCCTTCGTGGGCCGGTGCGAGGCGCTTTGTGGGCGGCTGAAGCGGCAGTGTGCCAGCAGCTCCCGCCTGGGAGGCAGCCGTCGGAGGCTGGGGGGAGACCTTTTGGGCCAAAAGGGGAGCCTTGGCATGTGGTGTGGTGGGTGTCCAGCGGGGACAGAGTGCATGCTGGGTGTGTGCCCTCCTTGGGACCTCCCCCCCCCCCCAAATAGCCGCAAGAGAAGTAGAGTTGAGTTGTACCAATGCATCTCCACCGAAGGAGCGCAGCTGCTCCTTGTCCATAGCGGACTTCGCTTCTTGGAGCCTGGGGCCGGCTCTGGGGCTTGCAGCATTACCCAGTCACCCCTCTGGCTTAGGAGATTTCCGAAGCCATTGCTCATACGCTTCTGAGCATAATGTTGGAACCACAAGGACTAGCAACTTTATTTTTAAAAGATCGTAATGGAAGTGGAGATCCTCAGGAAGCTGGCTAAGAGAATGTTCACACCGCCTGGCCCTTTTGAGCCTTGTTCTAAGCACAGCGCTTCCAAAACTACGGGCTGGCCATTGTCACTTTTCCGGGGTGGGGCGGGGGGAGGGATCCACCAAAGCCAGTGGGGCTGTTTCTGCTTGCCTTGGACACATGCCCTTTCCTCCTTTCAGTCTGCACCATGGTGGCTGCCAGTCGAGAAGGCGTTCTGGAGGCAGGTGAGCTTGCCGAGGGACTTGTGGGATCCGGGTTCTAGTCTCCCCTCAGCCATGGAACTCACCGTGACTTGGGCCGGTTGTGGTCCCTCGGCCTAACCTGCCTCGCGGGGCTGTTGTTGTGAAAAGGAGAGGAAGATTATGTAAGGGGCTTTGGGTTCCTTGCAGGATGAAGTCAAGCCACTCGCCCGGCTTCAGTAGCTCCCCCTCCCAAAAGTGGGGAATGGCCCTGCTAGGCAGCGAAAGCCTGAGCTGGGACACGGCCGTTGGGGGGCCATGGCACGTTGCAGCCACGTTGCGTTTGGGCCCTCCGCCCTGGAACGTGCCCCCTCCAGAGCACCCCCGCCCCAGATGGCCTCAAGCCCCCACTGCAGCGCCCCCTTTCCTTCCTCAGCCTGCAGGCCCCGGATCTGGCATCAAGGACAAACTGGATCATCCGGTTCTGCACGTCAGCTGGAACGACGCCCAAGCCTTTTGCGCGTGGAAGGGGAAGCGGCTTCCGACAGAGGCGGAGTGGGAGCTGGCGGCCAGGGGAGGCCTGCAAAGTAGGTCCCTGCGGGCCGCGGGGCACCTTCCCACCCACGTGGCCACGTCGGTCCCAGAGGAAGAGAGCGGGGAGCCTGTGGCTGGCGTGCTCGAGCATCCCCTGAGCACAGGTGACCTCGCCACACCTGCGCTCGGCCGTGAGAGGGTGGTGGCACGTCAGCCTTCCTGCCCAGCAGCAGGGAAAGAAGCCCACTTCTGGCCTGAGGCTTTGCACGCTGCAGCAGGCTTCAGCTCACGAGCCGCGAAGCTGGCCGGGTAACCCAGTGCTTCTCTCTCTGGTAGACCGGCGGTACCCCTGGGGAAACAAATTCCTGGCCAATCGCACCAACCTCTGGCAGGTAAGGCGTCCTGCGGCGCACCTCCCGCTCTTCCCGGTGCTGCCACGCCAGAGCGACCGGCAGGCGGGCTGGGTGCGGCCCGGGTGGCCTGCCTGGGCCACTTGCCCGCCGGGCCGGCCGGGCCGCAAAAACCCCCTTCCTTCCCGCCTGCAGGGCAGCTTCCCCAGCATCGACACCGCCGAGGACGGCTTCCACGGCGCTTCTCCAGTGGCCGCTTTCCCCCCACAGAACAACTACGGTAAGGCTGCTTCCTGCTTCGTGGCATCCGAACCCAAGTCCGCAGGTGCCGGGGCTGCTTGCCGCCCGGGGCAGAGCGCTGGCAGCCTTCCAGGTTCTGCAGATTTGTGATCTTCCTGTCCTGCCTTTGCCCTGCGAGGAGTCCGTAGCAGCGCGCAGAATCCCCTTTCTCCTTGACACGTGATGTCCTCACGGCAGCCTGGTGAGGTAGGCCAGGCTGGCAGTCCGTGATGGGCCCCGAGTCACCTGGGGAGCTGCACAAGGACTTGAAGCTGGCTCTCCCAAGTTCTGGTCCAGTGCTCTTAACTCCGGCACCACACTGGCTCTCACAGCAATCCTGTGAGGTAGGCTAGGCTGGACCAGTGGAGCTTTGCGGCTGAGGGGGATCTGGAACCCGGATCTCGCAAGGCCCAGTCCAGCACTCTGGTCACTGCCACGCTGGGTTTGTGCTGGCCATTCCGAGCTGCTCCCAGGGCTTCATTGCAATCTGCCCTCCGCCCCTGCATCCTGAAACGTGAGTGTCGGCTTCCCTGCGCATGTGCAGAGTGTGCCAGCCTCTCCCACAGAGCAGCTGCAGGTCTGGCCCAGGTGGCGAGTGTCCAGGGAGGGGGCGCCTCCGGGCATTCGTTCACCCTCCTGCCCCCGGCTGTCGCTGTGCCCAGGCTTCTACGACCTGCTGGGAAATACGTGGGAGTGGACGGCCTCGGAGCATCGCCCGGACGGCCCCAGGGCCCGCCAGCCCGCCCAGGAGACGATGCGCGTCCTGCGGGGAGGCTCTTGGGTGGACACGGCCGACGGCTCGGCCAATCACAAGGCGGAGGTGACCACGAGGTAGGCAGGCCAGCCCTGGGCCGACGGGCCGGCCTGTTTCTCCCTGGGACTTGGGGCCGCCCCCAGAATCCCGGGCTCACCCTTCCCCGTGCCTGTGCCTTCCGGTGCACCGGCCCACAGTCCCCATCGACCCGTCGGTGCCGGCTTGGGGGGGGTGCCGTGCACACGCAGAGGGGCAGGCTAGTGAGCTCACGCAGCGCGTGGGAGGGTGCGCGTTCTTCACGGCCGAGCCCTGGGCCCCGCAGTCCCGCAGTCGGGCCTCCCGGAGCGGAGCTCCTGCCTGGCCAGTGTGGGAAGCCCCGGGCCTGCTGCAGGCTCTCTCCGCATCCCGGCTCCCCTTGGTACCCCAGCTTGCTTCCCTCCTGCCTTCCTTCCCACCCCCTCCCTCCTCTTGGCCAAAGGCAGCCCTCCAGATAAGGGCTCCGGGTGCCGGCACCCGCCCCTTGCCTGCCCCACGGCCGAGCATGGAGGCGTCCCTGCTCTTTTCAGGGGCAGCCAGGGGGTGCCTCTCTCTGGCTCGGCCAGGAGGAGGAGACCTGCACCCATCCGGATGTCATGATCCCCGGCTGGCCGCATCCCTCGGCCCCGGCTGTCGTGCGGGGTAGGAGCTGTGGCCCAAACAGCCGAGGGCCCCCGGAACCAAGCCCCGAGAGGGGGCTTGCAGGAGCTTTGGCGATAGACCCCTGCTCGGTTCCCTCCACAGGATGGGGAACACCCCCGACTCGGCCTCCGACAACCTTGGCTTCCGCTGCGTCGCTGACCCCCCCACGCAGCCGGCCCCGGAAGCTGTGAGTGGAAAAGCCGAGCTCTGAAGCATCCAGGATTCCGCTTTCTCCTGTGGAGACAGGCCACCCTGCTGCGGGGAGAAGATGGTTTCTTGTGGAAATTAGCTGCAGGAAAGGACGCGGCGCTGCGGCAAATTATGCGCTAAAGGACGTTGCAGAGAAACGGGTGTCTCTTCGGAGGTGCGGGCAGTGTGCGTGCTGTCAGGGATTCCCTTCTTGAAGGTGCCGTTAGACTGGAACACAGCGGGAGCAAGAGAAGCTGGGATCTCCTGGCTCAGGCATGTCTCTTCTGCAGCTCTTCAGGGTTTCAGAAGAGGGTGTTTCTCAGGTCCAACAGGAGGTGCTGGGGGGAAATTGGGACCCTGCGGCTAAGCAAGGAATCATCGAATGGTAGAACAGTAGAGTTGGAAGGGGCCAAGAAAGCCAACAGGTCCAACCCCCTGCTGTTTCAGGGCCACCAGCTTACACCGTCCCACTCGGGTGATTGTGCCAAATGAAGTAAGATTCTAGTCCTCATTGTGCCAAATAAAGAGCTGTTTTAAAGGGGAGCTTGGGAACTGCCTTATATGGAACCAACCTCACCCTTGCAGCGCTGCAGGACGTCCGGGGGACCTGTCGGCTGCATTCAGTACCAGAGGTCCTCTCGGGGCAGGTGGTGGCTGAGGTGGGACTCCAGCAGCAGGTGGCAGGGTAGGGATGGGGGTGTAGGCGGAAAAATGTCCCCCAGCGCCTGGCAGGCCACCCACGAGTCGTCAGGGGACCTTCTGTCTGAGCATGTACAGCATTGCGCACTAAAGCTCTCCCACCGATGGGTCGGCCGTACCAGAGGCATGGTGGCCTCTGAGAAGGGGGTGGGAAGCTGCCAGAAAGGCTGGCTTTGCAGCACTGGCTGGCAGCTGTGTCTCTGCGGGGCTTCAGGTGCAGATATGCCTGATTCCACCTGAAGATAGGGGTGTGTGTGTGTGTGTGTGTGAGAAGTGTAAGTTCAGTCTCGAATGCCTGATTCCACCTGAAGATAGGGGTGTGTGTGTGTGTAAAGTGTAAGTTCAGTCCCGAACGCATTAGATAAGTGGGGGGAGTGAAGACTCTCCAATTGTGGCAGGATTGGCTAAGACCCCCCCCCCAACTTCCTGACCATCTGTTCCCATCGACACCTTTGTGCCTTCCATCTGTTTGGACAACCCCTCTTGGCTCCACACACGCTTGGCTGGGAGCTGCCACCCAAAACGTGTTGTTCTGTACTAAAATGTCATTGTCCGATGGAGGCAAGCCAAGCCTGAGAAAGAACGCACATTTATTGACCTTGAAATGGGCTCTCTTTCCAGCAAACAGGGAACATTCCCTTTCAAAAGCACAGCTGTAATAAATAGTAATAAATACTCCACATTCCCAGGCTCGGAGCTCTTTTGGGCTAATGGCGGCCGCGCTGCGTGAGCACCGTTGCCCTTCCTCGGGATTCCCCCACCCACCCGAGGCTCGCTGGGCAGGTGCTTCACTGCTGCGTGTACCGAGGGGCAGCTCGTGGGCCCGTTCTCACCCGGGAGGAGCCCCGGAGGCCACATTCCAGCATGGGCAGGACCCCGGATGCCATACATCTTAGCCCCAGCTTCCGACAGCCAGCCGGGGAGGCTTCGGAGAGGCTTTAGGATCTGGGAAGGGAACGGCACAAAAGCCGGAATCCTCTCCGCGGCTGGAGGTTGGCGAGGGGGGCAGGGCTCAGGTTGCACATCAAGGTGGGCTGTGCCCCGCAGCCTGGGGCAGGTTGGCCAGCGGGCTTCAGAGGGAGCTCGGTGGCGCCGCCCCTCTGGCAGGCTGTTGCTCCCCAGCAGCTGGGAAGTCAGAGGCAGGAGGTGCTGGGGCCCAGAGGCCCCATCTCAGCCTGCTGGTCGTGGTAGGTATGCCCTCCCTGATTTTGTCTAGGCCACAATCCTATGCCCAGCTATGGGCAACCTGCCTCCAAAGAGCAGATCTAGGAAATGAGGCGCCCAGGCCAGTGGGGTTCTCCACATCTGGAAGCCTGAGGTAGACTGCTCCTGAGCCTGGCGGCTCCCTGCAGCTCTGTGGCTGTCCGCTTCCTCTTACAGCTTGCTTACAAGAGAGCCAAAGGCATCCCCTCTGCTCTCCTAGGAAACGCTCTGCTGCAGGCGACAGATGCTCCGCCCCAAGCTCCCTCGGCCAGGCAGCCGATGAAAGTCCCTGTTGCTGGGGCTGAATCCCTGCATGTCTGTTGGCGTACCAACACTTGCTGAGGCCCCAGGAGGCTGCTGCCCCTCCCACCCCCCTTCCATAAGCCCCTCAGGTGGGATGTGTGGGAGGCTGAAACAAAGCACAGTAAACGTGCTGTCAGGTTTCTAGTTCCTGGGGTCTTGGGGTGTTTAATTAAGAAACAAATACCCTGAGAGGTAGCGTAGCCATTAGATGTGGCACCCTGTACAGATTTTTGGACTACAATTCCCACAAGTTCCAGCATAGATGATAGCCAGGCATGATGGGAAGTGTAGTACAAAAACCATGGAAGGTTCCAGGCTAGATATGACGTTTCAAGCAAGAACTGAAACTGACTTGGGTTCAAATCCCTGCCTGGCTGCGAGTCAGTGGGGGTGCTCATCGCCTGGTCTACCTCACAGGGTGGTTGTGGGGATGACATGGGAGTGTGTGTGAGAAACATCCGGCCCTGAGCTCCTTCAAGGAAAAGGGAGAGGCAAATCAGTAAATAATAAGAAGAATAGCGTTAGATGTGCTGCCATAGCTTTGGCGTTCCCTGGTTGGGTGCCGCAGAGGCGCATCGGCCCCAATACATCATCCCTGGCCACGGGAAGCCAGGCAGGCTTCGCTCCTTTTGTACGTGGACTCAGAAAAGCTCTTCCTCGGCAGCCAAGCTGAGCAAGATGGCCTTGGGGGTGTTTTCGAAGAGGGCTGCGCGGTTCTGGGCCTCGCCCTTCTTCACCCAGTGGCCGTAGATCCTGAAGGCGCAGGCGTCGATCAGCTTCCGGACGGGCTTCAGGCCGTAGGGGTCCCGCTGCATCACCTCCTTGGTGATGGGCTTCACGTTGCGGTAGCTGAGGTAGATGCGGACCGAGGCCAAGACCGTCAAGCAGATGACCTGGCGGGGAATCACAACGTCGGCTCGGGCGCGGTTTGCCCGTCAAGCTAATCCGTGGCTCAGTTAAGCTGGGCGGGTTGTGCCCACAGGGTCCGGCACACGGCCAAACCGTGGGCCGGGCTGCTCTTGGGCAGCCTGGCATGACAACCCCTGCTTCTGGATCGAGCTGGACCAACCCCCCACGGTCGAGTTCACAGCTGGATCTCGTGGCACGACAGCCCACCGTCACTTGGCCAGCCCTCACGGAGCTGCGCGGTGTGCCGGCCGCCATTGTGAACAGGCCGCCCTTAACGAGTGGCTGTGGCGTTGTGCAAAGCCGGCCGCAGGGCAGAGGGGGCTGTGGAAGCGCGCATCGGGCTGTGAGCACACTCAGGCCGCAGTGGGGGGGGGGGCAGCACTGCTCCAGCTTTTGCTCACCTCCCAAGCCACTAGACAGTCGCTTTTGGTGGGCGACACGAGGGGAGGGACTGGAGGTGCTGCTGGCAGCCTGTCCTGCCTCCCGGAACAGCCTCCCAGTGCTGCCTCCAGGGCTGGACTTGCAACCTCGGCGCTTCAGCCGGCATGGGGGGAATTGCTATTTGGGCACCATCGGCTCTTTGCGGCTTCTTGCCTGATCAGGAGAGCTGGAGATCTCGAATGCTTGCACATTTGGAGAGGTGAAATCTATGAATTGGCCTCATTGAGCGGTTTCACTCAACACAGGAATCTGGGGTTTGCCAAGTGGCCACTGCAGCTGAAGCGTTCTCTCCACCCTCAGCCTCAACTGCCTTCGATGGCTTGTGCCAAACCAATTTTAAGAAGTACCTTAAAACTGCCGTTCACATGTTACCCTAAAAGTCACCCTTTGTCAGCTCGGTTATAGGAAAACAGAAGTTTGGATACCCGGAATTTCCGGAAGGGGCTGAAGTGCCGAACTTCCTCCACTACATATTCCTGGAAGAAGGGATGAGCCAACGCGTCTTCCACCGTGTAGCGATGCTTCGGTTTCACCACCAGAAAGTGAGAGATCTGCCAACAGAACAGTCCTGGTTGGTTACAGCACTTACTTCTGCGTTTGTCTTTCGTACATTTCTACATGGCCTGAATTGGAGGACTGCACTGGAAGAACGCCTGTGAAGCCTCCGCAGGTGGTGCGGTGAACGTTTCCAACATCTGGGAGACACGAAAGTTTACTGGAGGCACGCCAAGGCCTTCAGCTTGTGAGGAGGAGCACCCAAGAGAATGGCCTTGGCAGTTTCCCCAGAGCTCATTTATTCCTTAAATAAGAGCCGTCTTTGCTGGGGGAACCAAAACTGTTTGGCTTCCTGAAGCAACTTGGCTCCCAAAGAAGGAGGGAACTTTGAACAAGTTACTCATGGCACTGCAGTTATTTGAGGGAGAGGGTCCTGCACCATGGACCGCTTCTTACGCATTTAGATTCAGCCCAGGAGCGGACACCCCCCCACCCCCACCCCCCGCCGGAGCCACGGCTGACCTCTGCTTATGGAGACACTGATCTGCGAGCACAGCGAAACAGCGCAAAAGTAAAATAAATAAGTTTACTATATTTAGCCCTCTCTGGCAGGGAAGCCAAAGGAGAAAAGGGAGGTTACAAATATGATAAATGCCCCTATGTCCTTATTTCACTTTACCAAGATTTGCGTTACTCAGGTGCATTGACCATGAACCAGAAGAACTGTGGACTGGAACCAGGGAAGAATGCCAAAAGACCATTTCTTGTAGCAAAAAGAAAAAACCCAGATGGATGACAGAAGAAACACCGTTGCTAAGGTCAGGCAAGAAGCAAAAGCAAAAGGGGACAGAAATAGGACCAGAATCCTGAACTTGTCCTTGCAGCACCTTACCCCGTGGAGACAGACAAACTGCTGCACGGACCACCGCAAAGAGATGGAGGAGAACAACAAGAGAGGCTAACCTAGATACCTCTTCCAGAAGACCCCACAAATTAAAGGGAAATTCAAACCTGGACTTGGAATGCTGAAAACCAACAGGAAAAAAGGAAGAGAAGGTGGGAACAATTTAGAGAAAAATTATACAGAGGAGATGGAAGGATGCCAGGCCTCTTCGGAGAGGCATCTCGTGAAGAAGAGCCTGCGGGATCTGAGCGTGAAGGGAAAGTTCCCCTTGAAGCACCTGCAGGGAGCAGAGCAGTGGGGGACGGGGTGCCAACTGAGCGCTCGCAGAAACTGACTGCAGGCGAATTGCAGGACTTCACTCCGGAAATTGTGAACAATTCTCAGTCATCAATCCAGAGGGAAACTGCAGTCGGATTATTAGAAGAGTGAGGCCGGGCAGGGCAGCAAGGAAGGAACTGGAGAAACTCCTCGAGCACAAGGACGTTTCACTGGGGCCGAGGGCAAGATCCTTCTGCCTTCTTGGCTACCATGGGTGGGTGGGGAAGCTGGTCAGAGAAGGGGGCTGACGGGAAGAAGATGGATGCTGTCAAAACTTGCTGCCGAAAGAGGGCTTCGCAAATACCCTGGACCGAGAGGACAAAAAAATGCCTCCATCAAATCAAGCCAGGACTTGGAGGAGACGATCGTGTCAGGGAAAGTGGGAGGCAGAGGAGGACGAGCGATCACAGACTCATAGGAAAGCAGAGCCGGGCGGGGCCAGGAAGGCCATCAAGTCCAGCCCCTGCTGTTGCAGGACACCACGTCACACCATCCCACTCCGGAGGAAGACCAAATAGGAGCCGGAGTGACTGCCAAGAGAAGCTGCAGCCTGGAGCTGAGCAGGACCGTCCTGGGGAGGGCATTTTGAAGGGCTTCCACAATTCACAGGGCCACCATTAGTCAGAGACAACTTGACAGCAGAGAAGCCAAGGTGGCTTCCATGGTCTTCCTCCTTCCCACATTGTCCTCACAAGAACCTACAAGATGGAGGTCAGTGACTGGCCCAAAGCCTCTCGGGAGCTTCACGGCCAAGGGAGAACTCGAACACAGATCGCTTTGGTCCTTCGCTGTAACTACTGCACCACACTGCTGCTGTACCCATTCCTCCACGTTCTTCCTCGTACGGACGACCGTCCATCGTTTCTCCCACCCTGCCCTTTGTCCTTCATCCAGTGGACCCTGTCCACTGCCCCTTTTTGCTTTGCATGGCGCTGCACGTTCCCTGCAGGGGCTCACAAGCCCAGTTGGAGTGGCACCCACCAGGTCCTTGACCGTGTCCGACTGGTCGTCCCACTCCGGCGAGCCAAACTTGTAATCTCCGCTCATGATCATCCGCAGCATCAACATCTGCTTTCGGTGCCAGAAAGGGGGGGACCCGGCCAGCAGGGTGTACATGATGACCCCCGTGCTCCACCTGGAACAAAAGCGCACCCCAGTTTGCCTCCTGCTTCAGGCTTGTTCATCTGCCAATAATTTGGACCCTGGGCCACTTTTCACGTCATTCATTCATTCATTCATTCATTCATTCATTCATTCATTCATTCGGGGTTCTTGTATGCTGCCCCATTCACATAAGCCTCAGGGTGGCTTCCAATAAATAAATAACAACACAAAAATATAAAAACTGGACACATCCGGCAATACATAAAAACCAATAAATGAATTAACAGTTCATTAAAATGACGTTTAAATAAAACGGTCTTGGCCTGGCGCCGAAAAACAAGTAACGACGGCGCCAGGCGGACCTCTCTGGGGAGCGCGTTCGTTCCATCACTTGCATGGGGAAAGCCAGTCCATCTTTGGCTTCCTCCCCAGAGGTCTCCTCACGGCCTGGCAGCCAGAGGGCGGGAAGTCTGGCCTGCAGACAAAGAAAGCTGCCAGGGTTGCTGCCGAAGGAGGGCCCCAGCCCAGGGCCCCACACTCAGCAGGGGCCCCGGGGCTTGCTCCCCTCCCTTTGTGCCAGTCCCCGGATCACCCTTGTGCCCCCGCAACCCTTTCCAGCTTGTCCACATCCTTCCTGAAGTGCCCGGAGCTGGACGCAGGATTCCAGGTGCTGCGGAAGGGGGGACCGGCACTCCACAGGACTTGGAAATGAGGAAGAGGAGCAGGGCAAAGCAGCTGGGCCCCCCGGCAGGCCCGGATCCAGAGGGAGCCCGGATGGGGACGGCCAGCACATCGTAGCTACTGCACAGATCAAAGGACAGGCGCCAAGCAGGTGAGGAACAGCCTGCAATACTCTCCCGCAGGCGGACATCCAGGTCACCTTCACCTCTCCAGCACAGGAGATGAGCGGGGCAGCTCGTCCTCTTCCTCTTGAGCCCGTGCCTTGAAAGGCCGGCACGTTCTGGGCTGAGACCCCTGCCAGGGCAGGAATGCAGGGGGTGCAGGCTGCCTTGAGTCAGGGCCTTCCCCCCCACCCCAGTGCTGGCGGTGGGTTGTTGCTCGATTTTGCTTACATATCCACTTCCTTCCCGTAACCTGGATGGTCTGGATCCATGGAGCACTCCAATATTTCCGGAGCCAAGTAACCCGGCGTTCCGCAGATCTCTGTAAGAAAGGCAACCAGAAGCGGCACTTAAACATTTAGTAATCTTACTTTTGAAGATGACAAGAACATTTTCCCAGACAACCCAGAGCAGGGGTCCTCAAACTTTTTAAACAGGGGGCCAGTTCACTGTCCCTCAGACTGTTGGGGGGGGACATAGTTTGAAAAAAAAAAAAAAAGAATGAATCCTATGCATACTGCACATTAAAAATGAATTAAAGTTTTAAAACTTTAAAAAACAATTAAACAATAAGAAATGTTTGTTCCACTCCCTTGGGCTGCAGCAGAAGCCCAGGATGATGGGGGAAGATGCCCGTATTCAAGGGCCATAGCTACAATGTCCGTGATCGTGCTGCGGGGGGAAGACGGGCGCGATCAAGGCCCCCCCCCGCACTATCGCGGCCTTCCCTGCCCCCAAGCACGACCGTGGCTGTGCCCGTCTTCCCTGCACGAGCGTGCCCACGATCGCGGCCACCTCCCCACTGAGCACGCTTGCACTGGCTCATCGCTTCTGGACTCGCTCGGAGGTCTCCGAGCTCGGAGGGGGCCGGATATATCAGCACTGCAGGTCGAATTCAGGTGCAGTTTGAGCACCCAGAGGCCTGAAACACACGATTGCATTCCAAGGGTTAGGGTTGGAGGGCACCCTCTGCCCACAGAAGGCCACGGGTTCAAGCCCAGCAACGTCTCCAGGCAAGGCTAGCAGAAACCCTGGGGGCCACTGCAGCCAGTCGGTTCAGCCCCAGAGTTTGGCTGGGCCTAAGGCCGTTCCTTGTTCCTAGTGAGCCACGTATTCAGAACCACAGGGACTAGACTCTTCCCTGCCTTTCAGGAGGGGCCACAGCTTAGTGGCACAAGCGTCTCTGGCTCCTAGTTCAGACCCCAACAGCATCCCCTTGGGATCCCAGGGCCTCCCAGCTGGAACCATCCAGATGCTAAGAGTGACCCAGCGAGAGGGACATGGACTGAGGAACGCTGTGCCTCTGAGCATACGCTCCGCCGAGGAATTTGTTTCTAATGCAAGTCGGCTCCAGACTGAGTTGTCCTGGGTGCCTCATCCATGAGGGGACTTCAGCAAGTCCCAGCTAAGGCAGAATGGAGTACTGGCGAGCGTGCCGGCCTGGGCTGGGACTCTGGAGATCTGCGCTCGCGTCCCCACTCGGCCACGAAGCCCCCTGAGTGACGTGGGCCAGTCATGGGGTCTTGGCCTAGCCCACCTTGCAGGGTTGCTGTGAGGATAAAATGAGGAGGAACGGGGCATGGACGCTGCCTTGTGCTCCCTGAGGGAAAAAAAGGCAGGATGCAAAGACGATAAATGGATATGGGCCTGCTCGTGGGGTGCGGCCAATCCGGGTCCGACCCCAGAACAGCTGCTTCCTTCCACACACAAGGCTCCCCTCTCGCTCTCCCCAGAAGCCTTCTGGGTTGGTTTCCTTTTAGCCCTAATTTGGACGCGGGGCTGAAAGACCTGCCCGTCTCCCCTTTCCTCCCTTCCTGAACGGTCCAGGGCGGCTCTCTGGCCTCTTTCACAAGCCACCAGAGACCTGCGGGGGCTGCCTCCCCCAGCCATTGTGCTCCAGATGCCCCGGACCGCAACATGAGTGGCAGGGCACGGTGGGATCTGTAGTCCCATGCGTCTGGAGACCCCTGGTGGTGGTTTAGAAAGGATGGACATTGTCGTCCACGGCTGGAGGGCCCAGGACTGGCACTTCCCAGTCTACCTCCTGCTTCCCCTGGCAGAGGCCGTGCCACCGCTCCCTACACCTGGGTCCCCAGTGCCGGGCTGTGGGCCAGTACTGGTCCGTGGCCTGTTAGGAACCGGGCCACTCTAGTCTCGCAAGATGCAGAGTCAAGGCAAGCGTGCGCCACAGTCCGAATGGTGCTTCTCAGTTGGAACTGCGAACCAAGTGACAAAAATGCAATCAGCAAAAACGCCCAAGTGGAAAAAAATAAATTACAGTAAAAGACACATTGCCTGGATGTCCTGAATTGAATCGTCTTCTCTTAAACCCATTTGGCTTGAATTGATCCACCTTGTCTTGAATCCATTCATTTCAAATCAATTTGTCTTGAATCTATTCATCTTGAATGTGTTTGTCTTGCCTTGAATCCATTTGGCTCAAATAGATTTGCCTTGTCCTGAATCTCTCCAACTTGAATAGATTCACTGGCTTGAATCTGTTTATCTTGAATTGATTCATCTTATCTTGAATTGATTCATCTTATCTTGAATCCATTCATCTTGAAGTAATTCATCTCATCTTAAATCCATTCTGCTTGAATCAACTCCTCTTGAATTCATTTAGCTTGAAGCAATTTGCCTTGTCTTGAATAAGTTCCTCTTGACTTGATTAATCTTGTTTTGAATCCATAGACCTTGAATCGATTCAGGGCATGGAGGCAGCCAGGACAGGGCAACTGAAGACGCTCCAGAATGAGGGGGGACATTTGGGGGGGGATTAATGGCCATGTGTCTTTTACTGTAATACTTTTTTTATTTAAACACTCACCATATCTTTGATCAGTATGACTTCAAATGTAATTTGTTTCAGGAGGCCATATTTGCTGTTTAAATTTATCGAAACCAGTACTGTTTCAGGTCTGGAGACGGATTAATTCACTTTCCATTATTTCTAATGATTTGGACTTCAAATGATTCAGAGTTCACACGGCCTCCTGAAGCGAACCAAGTTCCAGCTATGAGGCTGCGATGCGCTTGAATCATCCCAAGCCATGCCCGCCCACCCCTGGTCTGAGGAAAAATGGTCTTCTTTGAAACAGGTCCCTGGTGCCAAAAAGTTTGGGGACCGTTGCCCCGCACGGCCCAGTGCGCAAGTGCGCACAGGCGCTGCACCTGGCCCCCCGTCCAAAGGATGCCACAGCCCGTGGCGCCCGGGGCCACCTTTATTTATTTATTTATTTAAGATATTTATATGCTGTCCTTTGCAAAAGCCTCAGGACGGCTTACAAAGATAAAATACAAATACCACCAAACATAAATAAATTAAATATAAAAATGCTTGTCTTCGGTTGGAACATGCATATCTTTTATACCATGGTTCTTACCAGCTTCTAAGAACTACCACAAAGAGAGAGTAAATACCCATAAGTTATATTCTTTGAGTAATCAAATAAGCAATCAACTATGCAAAAGCTTCCTAAGAATCTTCTGGAACCCAACATGAGGAGCTCCTGCCCCTACAATCTCAGCAAAAATTATCCATCTTTAAGTAATACTTGTGGCAGGTAAACAGGACAGATAAAAGAACTGTGCAATTGCTCAAATAATGTTTAATTACACATAAATAATCTACTTTATACTAGATGTAGACCACCACATATGAGAATGGCAGGCTGAAACGCCTAGAGGAAGGTGCTAGTGGCCTCAAAAATAAATTGAGAAACCTTTGAGCATCTCCCCTTTCTGCAGCTGGCACGAGAAGCCGAAGTCGGTCAGCTTGATGTTCATGTTATCATCCAAGAGGATGTTCTCGGGCTTGAGGTCGCGATGGACGATGTCCATGGCATGCAGGTACCGGATCACCTCCAGGAGGGCGCGCATGATCTTCCTGCAGCGGCGGGAGAGAGAGGGAGTGAGCGAGCGAGCAGGGAAGCCCCAGCCGGCCGGCCAGAGGGGTGAGCCGGGCTCCCGCTGCCACGTGAGGAGCCGGGCGGCTCTGGCTCAGCAGGTGGATGCAGCCCATTCTTCTGGCAGCCTTCGCCATCCCGGGGAGATGGGCTGGGCTGCCCCTTCCAGCCAGTTGGGCGGGGGGCACATTGCTCGGAAAGGCTGCGGGGCAGGGGGCTGGTTCAGAGAAAAGCTTCTTCCAGGCGATCGCTGCTGCACCCAGATGTCTCAGGAGAGCCCCCGTGAGGAGCCCCCCCCACAGGAGGACCCCAGGGGCCACGCTCCATTCCCCAGCTGCCAGTCACTGGGCGCTTCCCCCCTTTCCACACATTCTCCCCCATCCTAAAGGGTAGAGATGCCTCTCCGAAGGGCTCCTCTACTCGCCGGAGGAGCATCCAGCGCAAAACAACTCTCCCTGCCGTTGGCCCTGCCCGAGGGAGCGCAGCCCCGCGAGCTTCTCTGAGGCCCTGGGCTGAGCGAGGGTCAACCCGCCAGCCGGCCGCCTCAGACGCCCACCTCCCACCATCCTGGGGCCTGCCAGCACGGCCGAGCAGCCAGGCAGGCGGAGGAGCGGGACGGCCGGCTGTGCGGAAGGCCAGAGGTGTGGCAGATGCTCTCTCGCCTCGCCGGCCCCCACACCAGCCCTGGGTGCGGCCCCTCACCTGGTCTCCTTCTCGCTCAGGGTCACCTTCTCTGTGAGGTAGTCGAAGAGTTCGCCTCTCTTCATCCTGTGCAAAGAGGGACGGGGAGCGCTCAGGAAAACTCCCCCAGGGACAAAGGCGAGCAGCACCCTTCCGAACGGCCCTTCTGAAATCTCAACTTTCCTGGCATTCTTCGAATCAGAGTTTTGGGGGGTGCTTGTTGCACAAGGAAATCCTCTTGGAAGCACGGATTGAGCAGAATCCCAGGGAGAGGGTAGGGGTTGCATTGCTCAACACACATGTATTTAAGGCAGTCCTCAGACCTGGGATTTTCATCAGAAGTGATGTCCCGAAACCAGAAAGGCAACGGGAGAATTCCCTAAATGACACTGAGGGCCCAGAACCAGCCCAAGTTAAGCACTTCCTGAATTCCTGACTGCTTCCCAAAGGACAGCTTGGCTCGCTGGTGCGGTAAGGCATGCCGACCCTCCCAGAGCCGCAAGGGAGGGCCTCTGCCGTGGCATCGGGCACATCTGGATGGCTCTACCCAAGGCGGAGCAGCAGCGGGGGCTCTCTGCCCCCCAGCGGAGGCTGCCGAAAGACCAGAGGAGGCACTCGTGCAGGCTGTTGAGCACCGCCTTCACCCAGGAATTGCACTAAGGCCTGAGTGTTCGTACTGATTTAAAGTATTTTTATCCCACAACTCAACCAAGAAGCCTCCCCAGGTGGCATCTCTCTATCCGTAAAACAAGACAATTCTGGCTCGCAGGCTTACAATCCAAAAGACACAACACACAACGAAAGGGGGATGGGGAGGGAAGAGGAAAAATAAGTCCCACCACCCATCTGCCTTCCGTTGGGTCAGAAGTGATCGAGTTACCCCATCACACCTTTGCCAAGGTGGCAAAAACTGATTTAAGAAATTAAAGCCTGAGCAATGTCTGGTCCCAAGAGTGGCAACCCTGAGCTTACTGGAGACATGAAGGGGTTAAGACATTTGTGTATTTGGCAGCTTGGGAATTCTTGCTCTGGTTCAGACCTTCTCCAGCCTCAGTGGCCGGGGATTGCAGGAGTTGTAGTCTAACACAACCTGAAGGCACCAGGTTGTAGCCTTTGTGTCTGCTTCCATCCCTGGCATGAGGACTAGAGACATGAAAAAATAATAAACTGCCATTTGCATGGTGCTGGGCTTTTCCTTCTGGAGGAAAAGGAGACTTTTTTCAAACTGGCTGATCTAAGCAACTTCTTGCGTTGTCCTAAAGTTTTCCAAAAGGGCCATGTAAAGCAGTTGTGCCCGGCTCTTACACAAGCCCCTGCTCCTGCGTGCATAAAAATAAATTCCTGGGGATCTGTGACAGCAGAGACCTTAGCAAAGGTTACAGGGAAACATGAGCAGGCCCTGCGTCACAGAAGCAGGAGAGGGACAGCTGCGTCCCGGGGGGGGGGGGGGCGTGGCTGGCCCCCGAGATCAGCAGCACTGTCCGGCTGATTGGCATCGCCACTTGCTCGCGACGCGTGGCTGGAGGATGGAAGAGCACGAGGAAAGCCAGCTGGATCCAGCCAAGGCCCTCCCTGGCCTGGCACTCTTCCTGCAGTGGCTCAAGCACAAGCAGGACACAGGCGTCATTTGGCAACCCCCCCCCCCGCCAGGTTGTGTTCCCCAGCGAGTGCTCCTCTGGAGCAGGCAGCTTGACACCATTCACTGCTGGGAGCACAGATTGGTTTGTTTGTTTGTTTATTTAAAATATTTATACCCTGTCCTATATGCAAAGCATTGGCTTGTTCGGCCAGTGCCTGTCCTGCTCCGGAGCTGAAAGGCACATCGGGGCCGTGACTTACGAGAAATGGGCACGAGGCGAGTAGCACAGGTTAACCCAAGAGCTGTGATGGATCTTCCAGATGCCCCCCCCCCCCGCCCCGGAAAGGGTCTCCACGGTGGCGGTGGTCTTGTGCCAGGTGAGTTCCCTGGCCCACCTTGGCTGCCTTTCGTGGGTTGGTGGCGGCCAGAGGGGCTGGCCCCCGGCCCCCAGAAGCCCCAGCAACGTCCCCCTGACTGAGAGGAACGAACTGGAAACGGTGGCTTGGCAACGTGAAACAGTCTTTGGAGGACTCGGCCACAGTGTCGTTAGCAGTCAGCCTTGCATGAGCAGAAAGGCAGAAAGACACACCCCACCTCAGCCTCTCTATCAGCAGAGAACGTTCCCCTTATGCCGCCCTTATCAGCCAAGCGTCCGTCCAGATCCACAGGCTCGCCCTGCACGTAGCTGCAGAGCAACTGAGCTCATTTCTGGGCTGCTTTTCCTCAGAAGAAAAGTTGCTCCAAGGATGACAAGGACATTGCAAAGTCACGGACAGGAAGAGGCACAGGGAGCCGAGACGCACGAGGGCGGCTGGGGAAGGCCACGGAGGGAAGGCCACGTCTGCACCCCGCCGAGAACGCCACGCACGAGGCCGGGCATGATGCACTCGGCTTCCGGCTCTGGGGCAAAGCTCGTTCCTGGCGTCGGCACTCGAAGCAGCGCCTCGCCTGCCCGCTTAAGTGCCCGGCAGGTCAAGAGGAAGGCGGCAGACGTCGCTTCCCAGATCCCCGGGCATGACATCTCTGGAAGGCGCCAGATTTGGGGAGGCTGCCCAGGCGTCCTTCAAAGGGGCGAGGGGGAGGCTGCCTATTGATGAACGGCCAGGCAGCACCTCCTGATACAGAGGCAGTCTACCACTGAGCACCAGAGTCTGGGCGGCGGCGGCAGCAGCAGCAGCAACAAGAGCACTGCTGCTTCCCAGGAGCTGCATGCTGGCTTCCCGGAGGCCTCTGGTGAGGTCACCCTTGGGAACACCGAGCTGAGCTCGCCGGGAGGCCCCCGGCGGCACCGTCGCAAGCCGGAGGGCCCACGCAGTTGCCGGGTGCACCCCACGAGGGGCCTGTTGCGGCTGCACGGCCTGGAGAACCTGCATGGCACAGGCAAGCTGCTGGTACTTACAAGTCAAAGACCAGGAAGAAGAAAGTGTGAGACTCAAAGCTGTCCTTCAGCTGGACTGGAAGGGAAAAGGAGACATCTTAGCAAAGGGGGCCGCAGCCACCCACGGCCCCCGCGGGCCTGGAGACAGCCTCCTGCGCGTCAGAACAGGAAGGAACCCACGGCTGCGCCACAAAAGCTTCGCTGCTTTTCACGGAGTGGTCTTCTTTCTGGGAACTCTAGCTGGAGATCTCCGAGGCCGAGCTTCGGGATCGCCCACGCACAAGGGGAGCGGCCCCAGACCCTGCAGCGCAGATAGGGAATTCTACAAAATGTCAAGGAAAGCCTCACTGGGAGTCGATGGGGATCAAAGATGCCCTGCCACCCCCACCCCCGAGGCTTCTCCTCCGCAAGCCATCACAGGGCAACTAAGGCACTTCTGCCCTTCCTTGGCCCTTGTAGAGTTTGCCCTGGAACTGGCAGACACCCCTCTCCACGGACGGGTGCCGGGCGCCGCGCTGCTCCCAGAAGGCTTTGCATCCTTCGCATGCCAGTTCCTGTCAACCCCTGGCTGGGAAATGTGTCCTGGGATCAGTGTGGGAATGACAAGCAGCCCCCGTAAATTTGCGAGCCCCTTCGCTGCATGCCAGGAAGCGGGGCCAGCGGAAGGCACTCGAACAAGTTGGGACCCAAGCCTGCAGGGCACAAACCTGCAGCATCTGTGCGTGTGCGTGTACACGGACAACACACGCGCGTGTGTGTGAAGTACAGCCAGGATTTACGACCCCGCCACAGGAGACAAAGGGCGGGAGCTTTCTTCTTACCCCAGTGAAATGCTTTCCACAATGGGTTTGCACCTTGCCTCAGGGCACCCCAAACCAACAGAAGAGGGACCTGCAGCACAGGAAAATACATCTGGGGCTGTGGTCCCACGGAGAGGGCCTGCGGCACCCCTGCCTGGACGGACGGACGGACGCAGCCAGGGAACCCTTTTCCCCAGCGCCCACACGCCCAGCTGCCTGGGGTCATGGCCTGTACCTCGCAGCAATGCTGATTCATCTGCAAATTAATACCTTGCAGCAGTGCTGATTCCTCTGCAAATTAAAACGGCCCCTGGAGATCAGGCAGCGTTTGGGAGCGGCGGAGGGAGGATCAAATGAGGATCTGGGGGTCGCAAGGAAGAGGCACGTCCACTGCGAACCGGCTCTGCAGCTGCAAGGAGTTCTGATGGGCCAGCGGGCTCAAAACCTCCCACCCCGACACACGGACCTGCGCCTGGCTTGGAGACACCCTTCCGAACAGGCAGTGGAGTGGGGGTCTGGCGCACGAGACTCAGGGGCCTGTTTCATGGCCATTTCTAGGTGGACTAAGCTGGTACCAACCTGGACTGTCAAGAAACTGAGGCAGCAAGGAGCCCCTGGGCAGGCAGAGCTTGGAGTCTGGCCAAGATTTGCACCGGCCTGTCTGCTTTACAAGAAGGCACTGGAGCATTTAGCGACCCTCAAAGCCCCTCCGGATCTAAGGGGGTATTGTTGGGATTGGGAGCACCCAAACTGTCCCCAGCGTCAGGCGCCTCAAGGCGGCCCTGACAAGTTTGCACTGAAGTCCTTGATGAAGCTTCTGCGTTCTGAGCAATGTGGTTTTGAGGCATGCTTTAGAAATGGATTTAGAAATCCCTGGCTGTCTGGGCTGCCTCTTTGCAGTTTATGCATAACTGCCTTGAAGGATCACAGTATATTTTGCCATACACAAAATATATTGGGGTAGGGAGTACCCAGGTTTTCACTGGAACAGACTGATTTAAATTCCACAGAAGAAAATGGTTAAACTTCCTTTGGTTATCTTTCACTTCTGTGTTTTTTATTACTGTTTTTGGTTTGGTTTTGAGTTTTGAAACTCATCATAAAAAATTAATTTAAAGGCTAGCTTGGCCTGGAACCCTGGGCCAAGATGCTGGGAGCTGTAGGCGTATTTTGCTTTAGGCTAGTGTTCCCAGCTGGTTTTGCTACTAGACGGCTGGGAATGTTGGGAGTTGTAGTGGGGTATTGTAGGCTTTGTGATATGCTAGGAGTGTGATTTTTAGAAGGTCTAAAGCAAACAGTCTCAGCTCCTTTCAGTCCACAGGTTTGTTGCTGAAGCTCAACCAAGGTAGTAAAGTCTGACTTACTAACGTTTGGATGTCCAGATACCTTCCGGAGGATGTCAATTTCTTTCAAAGTGGCTTCCCTCAGCTCCTGTATTTCTTGTGGGGACAGGTTCCCAGCTGTGATGTCTATAATTTTGACAGCATATTCCTTCCTGGTGGTTTTATGAATGCACCGGCGGACAATGCTGCTTACTCCTCTGGAAGGGCAGACGAAACAAGACCGGATTCAGGCAAACTTCCTCAAGACTCATGGATAAATATCTCCGAAAAGACACGTTGTTATTGTTTTTCTACTTTTGCTTATGGTCAGTATGGCAAAGCCCTAATTCTCCCACCAGTGGGTCCCCCAAGCTTGCCAATTACTCAGAGTAACTCCAATATGAAGGGCAGGAAAGACATGGAAGAATGCTCCCTGCCCTGCCCTGCTTCAGGTTAACTTCTGCATACGTATGAACAACATCTCGCATAGAAGTTGTTTGAAACGAATTAGGTTCTGTTGCTTTGTGCACATGGAGCAGAGCTTTGTATACATCAAAGAGGTTTTCACCAAGTTGTTTTGTTAGTCTGAGATCCAAAGTAGGAGCCCCTTGTTCAGGCTGGGGGCCGAATTCCAGCTCAGGGGAATGTGCGGGGGTCGCATGCTGGGTGGGGGAGGCCGGGGCAACAGGGGCAGAGCCAAAGTCCTTGCCCATCCGCAGGCAAAGTTCTTACTCCTGTGCAAGAGGCGATTTTGGTGCTTGAGAACTGGGGTGTGGTGGGGGACGAGGATCCCAGCAAATGAGTACGGCAGCGCTGGGAGGAAAAGGCGTGCAGCCACCTGGCAAAACGTGGAAGGCTGGACTGAGACCTCCAGTGGCCATTTTCGGCTTATGGGCCTGAGAATTAAGCCCCTGCACCTCCCATAATCTGACACACACACGACGACGTGGGAATCGCTTCTGAGTAAATGCGTATAAGAGTGTACCATTCAAAAGGATGATAGCCTGCCGTGCTTCAATGTTAGAATTCTTGAAGAAATTATGGAAGCGATCCCATTCATGCTTAGACAGAAGAAAGTCCTAAAGATCACACTCTGAATTGCTTTAAGCGGAATCTCTCATGCACTGAGAACTGTACACATACAGAAAATCCCTGGGTCGATAAATAATAATAATAATAATTATTATTATTATTATTAGAACATTTCTATGCCGCCCCTTGCCAAAGCCTCAGGGCGGCTTACAAACACAATAAAATACAATAAAATACAAAAATAACAATATAAAATTAAAATTAACAATATAAAATAAATAAAAAATATAAAATATAAAAGAAGTTGCCCTGGCCAGATAAATAAGCAAATATTGTTAACAATTAAATGTTATGATAAAATAAGAAGAGGTGCTCTGCATTGCAACAAATCTTTCATACAGGAGAAGACGCAACTTGATCCTCCAGCAGAAAATAAGGCAAGCCATTATGGGGAGGGATTCCACCTTTGCCGGAGATGTGTGAACTGGCATCTACAGATTATTACTGGGTGTTGATTCATGGCTGAGAAAAGAGCGTTCTCAACAAAGCACAGTTCGTGTCTGACTTTTGCTGCTAGCAGATGTGGTGATGGTGGCTAAATTAGAGGATGTTGAAAAGGGACATTTTCCAACATATTTAAAGGGCACGATTCCATGCAAGTCCAGTCCCTTACTGCATCTTAAATTTGCTTTCCAGCAAATGCTTTCGTTTTAAAAACCCATTTTGGACCCCAATCCTGGGACAAGACAGCATTTCCATTGCACAAACTGGTAGCCTTTCCTGGAATCTTTTCTGTCCAGGTGCCTTTTTGCTTTGTCAGAAAGAAAGCTGCAGATCCTGCATGGCTGGAATCCGGGGCCATCCTAATGGTGAGAACGGGCAGGTTCCCACGACTGGAGAAAGAAGACGGACCGCCGTGGCTAATTTCCCCATGGCTCAGGGCTATCATAATCGCCTGCGCTGGCCTGGCTGGTCATGAGGCTGGAACCTCGTGAGGGAGGCCGGTGAGGCGGACTGGCAAGCCATCCTCTAGTCCTACAACAAGCTGTAGGCTCCCATGTGACTGTCACACACCCCCCTCATTCAGACAACAGGGTAACTGTGCCAGCACAGGGAATTGTGGGGATCAGGTGGCACACAACTGGCACGCACGGGTGGGAAAACAATCCATGGTTGCTTACTTTCCTTCTCTGGTCGTAGAAACCTGGCCAATGCCTTAGAAGGACTAAGGAGCAGGTCTTCTTCTATGTAAATGCTGAACTAAAAAGCGCCCCATCCTAGGCATTTGTCATTGAGCACTGCGGCCGAGCACACAATGAGCCCTTCCGGGTTTTGCTGGATGCACAAGACATTAAAGCAGACAGCCAGATATGTAGTGTGTTTACCTTCCAAGGATTTCCTTTGGCTCATATTTTTTATAAAATTCCTCAGATGTGTGGCTGTCTGGCAGTTCCTCAGTTTTGGTCATCTTGGTATAACTTCTCGGGAACTTTCTAGTGGATTATTTTAAGGTGACAAAAAGCTGCAACGAGAAAACAGCATACTGCCATCTCATAGGAGTTTCTACTGAGTATTACAAGGGGAGAGAAGGAAGGAAGGAAGGAAGGAAGGAAGGAAGGAAGGAAGGAAGGAAGGAAGAAAATCAATATGAAATAAATGTATGCAACAACGGTGCACAAGGATTTAGGAATGGCTGCACCTGAAACTCTCCCAGATCCGAAAGAGATTAAGAATGTTTGATCTCAGTTCGTGCCATGCTGAGGCTGCAGCCTTGTGGCAGAGCGCACAGGAGGGGCCCAGGGTGCAACTGACAGTGATATTTCCAGGCAGAGCCAGAAAGATTCCTCCCTGGAACCTGGAAGTCCTGCAGCCCGATCGCGTGTGAATGACATGGGGCAAGACAGACCTGGGGTCTGACTTAGCCTTGGCAGCTTCTGCTGTTCCTGTACGGTGAACTTGTGGACAAGGTGTGGAGGGCATGGAGGGCAAAAGGAAGAGCTTCCGCATCTCCCAGCACACACAGAATTCCTAACCAAAGGATGCAAAAGCCAAGAGCAATTTGCACCCATGTAAGAGGATGAATTTGTGATGTTTTCCTGCACGATTCCTGTCTCTAATGCTGCCAATGCCTCATTTTTGTGTTCTGAAATGTCAGATTATGGCTTACGACGGCCTCATGCGTGGCCCAGGGATCCAAGGGCCTGGCAGCAGCATTCCCGGGAGAATCGTCACAGCAAGGCCCGTAAATCAGAAAAGAAACTGCTTTGGGGACCTCCTGGACGGAAAGAATCCCTGTAAGAACTTCAAAGGGACAAACAGGTGTCTGAGTCTGCGCACGGAACTGCTGACTCATTTCATTCTCTGTCCCTGAAAGATCAGATGCTTGAATTCTGAGTCCTGCATTGAGTGTGGGGCTGGACTTGATGGCCACATGGGTCCCTCCCAGCTCTGCTATTCTAGGATTTGCTCCAGTTCCACACTGGCCTGGGGATGATGAGAGTTCTCATGTGACACACTGAGGGCACCTTGATAGGGAAGCTTGGAGAATCCTTTAATACTTGTAAATACCTAACAAAATCCTAGGTGGTTTCCAAGTAAGAAGTTGCTTAGGCATTTTACACACTCACCTGATCTATATGATTCACCAGCATCATCATCATATCTATTTTATATTTTGAAACCTGTCTTTTGGCCAAGAATCAGTACTCTAGCAGCCGTTTGCCTGGCCTACCCCACAGGGTTGTTGTTTGGAGGAGAAAGGGGAGAGGAGCTGAACCTTGAAGCCACTGCGGGTGTGCAGAGTGATCTGTGGGCCAGCCATGATTTATTTGATCTCCCCATGAACTAAATGGAAGTCGCCTCTGTGGAGGCCCTCATGGCACGATGCTGTTTGCTCAGCTGAAATCGGTGGGCTGCACTGGCCACTGGCCACAGCCCAGACGCCAGGGGGCTGGCTGGCACGGTGCAGAGGAGGGGGTCTCCTCATGGAGCCCCTTCTCCTGCGGGGCCCCGAAAGATCTTTTCTTCTTCCCTCCGGCCACTCCAACGCCCCCAGTTTGGGTGTTTATCCCCAGAACGAAGTTCAGCCAGCGGAGCCTAGCTGCCCCCGCCCCCCCGCCCATCCGTGTCCTTTCAGACCCTGCGCGCAGAGTGCCATGGCACACGTGCAGAGTGCGCTTCTCGCCTGCCAAGCCCCTGCACAGCCTACCTGCGGACCGGACTGTCGGGTCGAACCGCTGAGCGCCCCCGCAGGGCAGGCCAGCCCAGCCCAGACTCAGCTCCCCCGGGGCGGGCCGGGGCGGCGCCTCCTCCCGCGCCCGCGCCTCAGCAGTCCCTCCTGGCCCGCGAAGCCAGGCCCATCCTCGGAGGGCCCGCGGGAGAGCGCCGGTCGGGCGCTGCCTGTGCCGCCTCGCCTGCCGCGCGGGCCGCGGGGCCCAAAATAAAAGCGCCGCGAGGCGCGGGCGCCGGGCCAAGCCTGCGGGCCGCGGCGGCGCTATTTTTGGGTGACCCCGCGCCGGGGTGAGCGTCGCCCGGCCGCCCGGAGGCCACG